CAGAAGTCACAGGAGAGAGCCAGCTAGGGCTCTGTAAGTCTGATTCTTTAGCATCTCATACTTGCTGTGTTTGTTTCCCTATGTCTACATTAAAGTTTGGTAGAGCCTTTTTGCAAGATGCAGATGATCTCAGCTGTGTCAGGAAAAGCTGAGGGAAGAGGCTGTCATGCACATTTGAGTTAGATCAATAAAATAGTAGCAAGTCTCTTGGGAGCCAGGATGGCTATGACAACAGTAGCTGAAGTTAGAAGTCCTCAGGAAAGGTGAAAATCAGAGGAATAAATTAGGGTCACTAACATAGCTATCTCACTTTATGGAAATAGTCCTTGTAGTATTTAAGATTGGAATTTCTGTTTTACAAAGGAGAGTGTGTACTTAAATCTCAGAGCATGCCTAAGTAGGATGACACACTAGTAGTAGGAAGGAAGAGGAATTGCTTATTCTAAAAGTTGGAACTGAAATTATCAGAATTTTCTGGTCCTATTTGCCAGAGGTAACTCTGATTTTGAGCTAAAGTTACCATTTCCATCATTATTGCCATTGTTACCCTTGAGGACAAGAATCAAGTCCTTCTCTCAGAAATTTAAAAGGTGAAGGAAACTGAGGTACCATCTCATTCAGCCTTTCACTTTGCAGATGAAGTACAGAGTTGATGGGTACTTTGCAAGAGCTTAGAAGTCTAAATTTGTTTTCCTCTCAATGCTTAACAAGTGCAAGTGCAAGGCATATAGAATTTATTCAGGAATATCTGGTGAGTTACAGTTTGTTAAGCTGTAATGATATAAAGTTTAATTTAGCACTTCCAAATATCTCACAAGATACGTATTATTGCCTAAGAGTTCGAGGAATATTTAATGAGTGAAACTGAATATACTTGACACTATTAAGCACTGGCAATACAGCAGAAAACAAAATAATCCCTCTCAAAAAGATTACAGACAATAAATACTATGTATGTAAATGAATAAGAAAGTAAGTAAAATGGACTTCTGTCTCTAGTAGTGGTAGCTTAGGAAGTTTGTAATATCTCATTTTGCCAAAATTAAAAAAAATGTTGGATGAATGTATTTTCCAATCTTCTCAAAGCCTCAAAGGGCTGACAGGACAGTGAGTGATATTAGGCTAAAATCTAAAGGACAATGGGAACCACGGAATCGAATCTGGGCACTGGTGCTGCTTTTACCTTTAGGACATTTTCTCACTGAGGCAAATTTAAGCTTTGGTTTTGGTGGTTTTATGAGAGCAAAGAGGATTAAAATGAGGGACTGTAGCTGGCTCTAAGTGGAGATTCTAACTGGAAGTCTTCAAATTAAATTGGAACTAAATTAGCACTCTTAGACTCAGAATAAAGATGAAACAGAACTTCATCCACCTCTCCCTGGAGGAGAAAACAAAAGTACAGAGAAAATTGTTCTGGTTCTAAGGAGAAAAGAGACAAAAAGGGAAAATAAGATCCTATCCCTAAAAAGCAACCATGGGCAGTCCCCATTGCAGCTTTTGGGGTCACCATATAAGAGGACCAGAGGACCTCAGGTTGTGAACTTGGCTCTGGATTAGTAGTGTTTCCAGGTGCCCCGCAGAAGCAAATACAAGCTCTTCCCAGAGGAAAGCAAATCTATACCAGGATCCCCTAAAGAATTTTTTCAAGGGTAACCAAGAGAAACCATCAAATACAACCAATTAACTAAAGAAGTTAAAACACTACATGAAAAATATTGAAAATTTTAGTCTTAGGTTAAATCACTAACCACTAAAATACACATAAGGATAAGAAGCTATTTTAAAAATTACCTAGAAAATTTGAAAACTAACAAAAACAGCTACTAGAAATGAAATACATATTTAACCCTGGATAGATTTAATAACCAATTAGACACAGCTAAAAAGAGAATTCATGAACTGCAATACAGGCTAGAAGAAATTGTCCATAATGCAGCATAGAAAGACAATATATGTATATAGGAAATAAGAGAGGTTAAGAGATAAGGAAATAGAGTGAGAAGATTTAACTTATGTTTAATTGTACTATTGAAAAGATAGGAAAGAGAATAGGTAATGAAAGAGAAATAAAACTGATGGTTTCAGAGTCTAAACAGTAGTTTGAGGAGTTCCAATGAAACCTAAGCAGAAAGAGTAAAAAGTAATCTACTTCCAGATTTACCACACTGAAATCATAGAATATGTAAGACATAAGAAAAATTTCAAAAGCAGCCAAAAATCAAAAGAAAAATTATCTTTAATGGAGAGATACCTAGACTTACCACTGCGTCTTTAAAGCACAATGGAGGTCAGAATACAGTGAAATGCTATATTCATGTGCTGAGAAGAAAACAATTTCCAACCCAGAATCCTATACCCAAGAAAAATATCACGTGGAAATGAGAGTAAAACAAAGATATTTACAGACAAACAGAAACTGAGAGTTTGCTACCAACTGAATTTCTCACTAGATGAAATTCTAAGAATGTATCTCAGACATGATCCATTATGAAAGGAAGACCATAGTTTTAGGAAGGAATGGAGAGCTATTAAGGTGGTAAATATGTGGGCAAACCTATAGGAACTTTGACTTTGAAAATAATAATGTATCGTAAGATTTAAAAAGGTAGAATTAAAATATGCACAATAATAATCTATGTCAAGTGGACGATTAAAAGAACAATCATTTTCTAAAGCAGGGGCATCCAACCTGCAGCCTGCGGGCTACATGCAGATTATTTGAGGACTTTTCTGCTTATCTGGGGTGTTGCATATCGTGAAAAGTTATGCACAGACTTTTTCTTTGGCTCATCGGCTTTCGTTAGTGTTCATGTATTTACCGTGTGGCCCAAGACAACCTTTAACTCTTCCAATGTGCAGCAGAAAAGAAAAAAGGTTGGACATCCCTGTCTATAGTCTTTATATTGTCCAGTTGATAAACTGATTTTAAAATTTATA